TCAGCCGTGCAATGTCGTGAAGGGTTGGGCCCTCACGACACTTCAAGTCTGACACTTGAGCGTCATAAGCGGTACTCGGATCCACGAGGGACCGCTTGATTATGGGCACTACATAGTACGCCATCATTGCGACTGCTTGCGTACGTTTGCATTGCGAGTCGATATGAGTAGGGCCTGCGTCCGCGCGCTTTTATCCTMACTTTCGCGCGCCACGGCTATTCGATTTTGCGTCGGTAAGTTATARGACGGCTACCGAGGGGCTAGAAGCGTTGTCGCGTTGTTTGTGTCATGTTGTTTCATACGTGTGCGTGTACATGTTTTTATGTTCTTGTGTTCGTAACGTGGAGTGCGCGTGGTGTGTGGGAAGCGTCCTAGTCGTCCGACGATGAGTCGCGCTTGGGACCTCAGCCCCCCCAAGATGTCGGTTCGCGTGCGGGTCCGATAGAGGCGTATTACCGCGCGTACCCCCTATGCTACAGCGAAAGAGAAACGCCCTCGGCTGGTCCACCTCTGCGATTGCAGCTGATTAGCTTTCGTACTGTGGACTGGTAGCTCGGCGGGGATACACCCACAAAAGGGAGGTGAGAGCTCCCGTAAGGTGTAGGTAAGTCGTGCCTCGCGTAGGCCCTATCCTGTCGTAGGGGATCGCGAGAGGTATGGCTGGCGCACCCGGTCGGAGCGGCTTGTGGAAGCTCCATGTATATTTGCGACGAAGGGTTGTAAAAACCAACTCCTGCGTGACGCGGCCGGGAGGGTCCCGCGCTGCCCCCGTGCGGTGCCGGACCGATTGCGCCCGACAACGGTGCGGTCATTGAGGGCACGGGACGCCGTGGCCGATGACGAGGATTGGACGGGCCCTGAGGATTTGACAGTTGGTGTCAGTGTCGTACCTCCGTTCACCGTTCACAGGGTCTGTGACCGGAGACCGGTCATGGAGTTCACAGAGTTCACGACACGCGAGTTCATGGAGTTCACGGAGAGCGTTTTTTTTTGTTTTTGTTTTTTTTTTAGCTGGGGGTGTATATTGTTTTTTTTTTAATAGGAGGGTGGGGGTCATCGGAAGGTAACCCCCCACATTTTTTAAAAGTCTTTTTTCTCGAATAATTTTTTTTTTCAATTAAAAACGGGAAAAAAAAAAACAACCAGCCAAAATAAGTTTTTTTCGAGTTTTCGCTTGTTATTTTGTACGTTATTTCCAATTTTTTTTCTCTCTTGTAGCCTTGTAGGTTATTTCGTGGTGCAATAAAGCACCAACCTCAACGGGGTCCGTCACACACAGAGAGAGAGAGAGAGAGAGAGTTGTTGGAGAGAGAGAGAGAGAGAGAGAGAGAGAGAGAGAGAGAGAGAGAGAGTTGTTAGAGAAAGAGAGAGAGAGAGAGAGAGAGTTGTTAGAGAAAGAGAGAGAGAGAGAGAGAGAGAGAGAGAAAAAAAAAAATTTGTTTTTTTCCACCGCTTCTCCTCTGCCAGGGCCCTGTAGGCCTGCGCCAACCCCCACCCACCTCCACTCCCCAAAACATTTTTATTTTTATTTTTTCATACACACCTTTTTTTTTTTTCTTTTTTTTTTTTGAAGGCATGGGGGTGTAGAAGGTTCCCGGACCACCCCCCTCCCGCCCCGATCCCGACCGTTCCGGCCTCCACGTGAACGGTCGTTCACAGATTTTGGCCCTCGTGACCAGCCGGTCACGTTCACGGGACCGGCACTGGTTGGTGTAGATAAGAGTGTTGAGAAACTCTACTACACGAACGGTGGAGGACCTAACGGATTTCAGCCACGCATCACCGTCATTTGGGAGGGCGACAATCATTCCATCCCCTCCACGGATACAGAGTTGAACCGAGGACAGCGAGGTGCTTCAAGCGACGCGAGTGGTGCAGTCCCTGTTGGGGTTCGTGGTGGGGAGGTCATTAGGGTGGACGACACGGACGTCGACGCCGACGATGAGGACGAGGAGCCGTTGGTGGATCGTAGAGCACGCTGGCATGCGAGGCTGCAGCGGCTTCCGCCCAGGGCCTCAGGATATCAAAGAGGCTGCATGCGAGGACCACCACACGTTCAGGACATAGATGAGAGGTGTTGGACCATGTAGACGAGATTACAGTAGAGGCACATTTTTCGAGTCATCGCATACCCACCTCAGCACTTCGAGGCGACAGGGAGGAGCCCGAGCTCCGCATGAGTGACTTTCATGGGCATGGAAAGGGACTTTCTGGAAGCGGTGTTCGAGGAGCGACGCACGGGCGAGGGAGAATGGGGGATGACACCCAGTATCATCTTATGGAGGCTGGCGGAGCGGAGTCCACAAAGGAGCCTCATGCCCGCATGGATCGAGAGGAGGAGCAGCGGCTGGAGCTGTTGCAGAGAGAGTGGGAGGGTCGATAGGCGTACATGGCGGAGCAAGAGCGTATTCGGGATTTGGAGACCAGTGCTGCAGTTCCTGATGCGGAAGGGTCGAGCATCTCGTTCCTACAGATTCGCATTCATTTGCGGTCGAAGCAGCAACGCCCGACACGCGTGGACCGTTGCCGTCACCCTAGGGCGATGGAGAGTCAGGCTCCGCATCGGGAGGAGATGGTGGTGCGTACGAGTATGGAGATCCATCCGTGTCCAACGTCATACTTGAACTGTGTGCAGCGGACACGTTGCAGCCTGATTCTCCACTCACTTAGGAGGCAGTTGACATGGAGGGCGATTTAGGCAGGTTGGAGGGAGGTCGTGGACCTGATGTGGAGGGCGATGATGGGGAGGGTGATTCAGGTCGTCCTGCACCTGCGCACAGTGTTGGTTCATGTCAATCGTCACAGGGGCCGATCGGGGGTGATGCAGCTGGACCTGTAGAGGGTGATTATCCGGTCCGCATGGGTAGTATGTCGTTGATGTTAGTGTTGCGGGATCCTTCACCGGTAGCAAACGAGGTTCCATCACCTTCTGTGGAGGGAGGACGGGGTGTGGTTGAGAAGGGGGAGGGTGGTACAACACATGACCATCATGACCCCAGGGGAGATCTGGAGGAGGGGCAGATTACACCGGTTCTGCTCAACCCTGACGCGTTGCAACGTGTGCTAGTGGAGGATCCGACAAGAAGGGGATCTGCAAAATCTCACGGGGTTGGAGCTCGCTCGCCTCCACTTTATACACCTTTGAACCCTCTGTATTATGGCTCTCCTGCGAGCTTGGAGCGTGAGCAGCAACAATCAGAGTCTGTGAGAGCGGCGACTTCGGGTGCGTGTACGACTCTCATCCCCCCACATATACCGCCTCCACCGACTATGCTCGACAGTACACCGCCATCTTTCACAGGTAGTATTGCTGGCAGATGCCACATGCAGTTGTCATCGTCACCTCTCCTTGACACACAGGTGACACAGCAGTCGCTTCACCGTTCGTGGTCCATAGTGTGACGGGTGAATGATCGTGTGAGGGATGATTTTGCGGCCCACCAGGCACGATTGAGGGAGGAGCGGCAGAGCGCACCGAGTATCAGGACAACTTGCCACATTCTCCGAGAGCCCAGATTTCATGCGCGTAGAAACCTACTTGTAGCCTTATAGGTTTACGCGGGGCCGCGCCTGCGATCTACACTTCCAGAGAGGACGGTGTGGTGTCTCCTCAGGGAGAGCGACATCACAGTAGCATTAACGAGTTAGAGTCTCTTATTGCTATGGAGGAGGCACAATTGAGGGAGTTGCATGACGAGCTCGATAAGGAGTGCGTGAGGATGGCGGCGACACGTACTTCAGAGGCCGACACAAGGGAGGAGTCCATCAAGCTTGTTAGGTGAAGGGAGAGAAAGTTGAGATTGGTCAGGGCTGGGACATGTGCGACACGAGGCCGACGACCTACTGCTGCAGGTCATAGTCGTTCATCCAACGGAGCAGGCAGTGGTCGGGGTCAGTAAACATCTCTTCGTGTTTATTAGGATGTTTCCCATATTTCGGTGCGGCCGTGCCTGGTTCACAGTCGTTTTCTTAGTTTGTCATATGTACTTTGATTTTGCATTCTTCATGTAGGTTTTTTTCGCCTTCCTGGGACTCGTGTGTAGTGCTAGCCTTAGACGGTGCGTGTGGTAGCGGAGGTTCTTTGAGGTAGGGTTTTTATATTTTTCGGTGTTGTGAGACATATGTGTACTAGTGACAGCTGTTGTGTGCAGTTTTTTGCATGAGGATGACGTTTGTACATATGTAGAGTTTGCCGTTTGTTATGTATGCGGATAGGACTCACAAGAGTAGCAGTTGTTCGAACTAACATTTGTACTTCTGGGGATACGAGTCCTAATCACATATTGTTCGACTCATGTAGTTGTACTTGTTTTTCCCTCCTCGTTATGTGATTGTGTTGTATGAGTTCACAGGTCACATGATCTCATATGTACATCTTTGTTTCATATTTCCTATGAATTGTTGCATTTTTTTGTGTGTTTGGCAACGTCGTCTGTTTCATTACATGCATGATCTTAGGGTCTTATTGAACATGATGCATCGCTGATGTCTCAATGTGTTTTACTTCGTTGACTGTTGTTCACTTTTGTATGATTAAACAGTTGTGGGATGCACGAAACCACCCACTGTCCCTGAATCATGCACACTCAGAGCCTGTATAATTACATTCTGTCGTTTGGTAGCATCCCCCTCCCCACGATATCCCACAAACCCCGCACTGCAAACGTATGGAACAAGACGAAGGAAAATCGTAATCTCCCCCAACCACCAACCACAATCACAATCACAACCCCCTAAAACACTACAGACCTTGCACAGCAAACTACCCCAAATGCCTGCACCCAAAAACGACACCCTTCGCCCCCCCCAAGGGCCTCAACAACCCACCAATTTCCAACCCCACACCATTTGCCAACCCAACACAGACAAAACCTCCCAAACTATTAACCCCTCCCCCACCCTCCTCACCACCGACGGAATTTTTTTTTTTTTTGGCGAACACGTACCTTACTATGTATCACACACCCTCACTTTCACAAATCTGCAATATGGGGGGGGGGGGGGGGGGGGGGGGGGGTTTCACCCTCAAAGGGGAACGAGATCGACCCCCCCCTCGAAAATTGTTTTTTTCTCGTTTTTTTCAGTTCGTGGGCGTAGGGACGTGTATGCGCCGCCGACCCCCGTTCGCCGATTTTCGAAATGACCTCCCCATCGGCCACCATGGCGTCGCCCGCGTTGGCCGCGGCCGCCTCCGAGGGAGATTCGTAGGCATGGATCTCTGCAAGTGCTCCGTCATTTTGCATTAGTTTTTTCACGTTTTTGGTATTCTGACCTATGTGTCTTGGCAGTCTTGCTGGGGGAGCAGGTGTACGAAAGTTTTATGCGAAGATATCATAGAGTACCTCTGGTGTAGGTATTTCATTAATTTGTTGATTGTGCGAGTCATCCAAACAAGTACATGGCTGAACGTAAAATCCCCGATGCTGCTAATAGCCTGCATTAGCACTGTTGAATAAATATAACTCTGAAATTTTAAAATGATTGTTATGGCAATGCCGTACCTGATGTCCTGTGGTTGAAGATGAAGTTCCCGGTGCAGTTAATTGCTTGCATTTGCACTGTTGTATAAGTGATACTGCAAAAATCCAAAATGATTGTTATCAATGTTATGGCATGCCGTACCAGATATCCTGTCTGAAGAAGAAGTCGTTTCTTTCGATTGTTGGTTGCTTTATCAAGTGCAGGGAAGACTTCGCTGGCAAAAACCCTTGCGAGGTTTGTGAATGTTCCATTTGACATTTGTTATTGTTGATGCAACTACTTTGACAGCGCCGCACGGCGCACACACAAGAAGATCATGGTCGATGGTTGAATATAGACGTGACAAAAGCGGAAGGAGTGAGAGGCATTGAGAGCCGAAGGCGAATGGGATGGAGGGGGGAGGGAAAGATGGCAAACTCGACAAAACCAGCTACCTTTAAAACACCACATACATGGAATCAGGTGGCGGAATTGTAAGGGAGACATGCCAAGGAAGAGTCATTTAGAGGAACAAAGTGTAGGGGAAGAAGAGAAGTCCACAGTGGGAGAGGGAGAGAACTCCACACAAGCCAACTAAGGGAGACATGCCAAGGAAGAGTCATTTNAAACAAAGTGTAGGGGAAGAAGAGAAGTCCACAGTGGGAGAGGGAGAGAACTCCACACAAGCCAACTAAGGGAGACATGCCAAGGAAGAGTCATTCAAAGGAACAAAGTGTAGGGGAAGAAGAGAAGTTCATAGTGGGAGAGGCAGAGAACTCCACACAAGCCAACTAAGGGAGGCATGCCAAGAAAGAGTTATTTAGAGGAGCAAAGTGTAGAGGAAGAAGAGAAGTCCACACTAGGAGCGGGAGAGAACACACAAGCCAACTATCTCAGCTGGTTGGCACCAAGCAATCGTCCCAGACCAGGCCTTTCGGTTGGTTGCAACTCCTACGGCCCAGTTTCTCATCTCTGAAGGCATACGCGGCAGTTATCTTTTTTTTTCAAGAACTTCCAGGCCGCGGTTGATTCTCTTCATCTACGTTTCCTTCAGTATTATTCTTTTCATTTTCTTCTATTTTCTAAGATCTACGGTTGGAGCAGTTCTCTTTCAGCATATTTGGTTCAAGACAAGGGTTCCAGTGGGACTCACCCAGCAGACAGCAGTCCCTCGGCAGCTCGGCCTCCACTGCTTCCAGGAGCAGCAAGGGCGTAAGTAACAGGGGCAGGACCGGTCGCAGCAGAAGGCGTCAACTCTCGCTGCGCACTTTCCGCACTCCTTCCGCCAGCCGCCGTGCCCATTGCGTAGGCAAATTTGCAGGTCACGTCACAAGTCAGTCAAAGCGCTCTTGAGGACAGGTCGTTTATCTCGCCTTTTTTGGCAACGCGGTCACCTGTCCTCTAGGTCTACCTCTTCTTTTTCTGCACCTGTACTGTCTTTCCGACCTCTGACTTTTTCGGCACCAGCACCTAGTCTAGTCTTTTCAAGGTACCTGATCTACACAATTTTTTCGGCTTTAGTCATCTTTTCAGGCCTTGCATCTGCACATTTTTGGGTTAGTACCGCGCATTGGGGAACCCCATCTGTATTTTTACCAATTTTTCGTCTGCATACTCGCCCTGCGGCTAAACCAGGTCTGCATTGTTTGGCCACTAGGAGATTCAGCCCCGCAGCTACTTAAACCACCGGTAAGTCATCCTAATCTCCACCATGTACGACAAAGGTGCTGCGAGCAATCCGTCACTCTGCGTCGCGGCCTTGTCTCCTCCAAGTCGCCAGTCACCATCTTCTCTCTCTCAACTGCGGCAATCCCCTTCCCCCCTCGCTGACCAATCATCCCCTTCTTCCTCCTACCACTCTCCTCCACCTCAACAAGCACCACTCTTCGACCCTTTCCTCAAGCGCGACTTCCCTACTAACCTCATGCTTCAGTCCTCCTCACCAGCACCACCGCACAGACTTCTACAACTCTTCGCCTCTCTCATCGAGTTTCCCACCCCCAAACCCTCTCTTCCAATAGCGACGGATCCCGCACTTGAGCGAATCTTTGTGATCGATCATCCAACTGCCTCATTGCTTCCCCTTTATCTGTTTCCTCTCCCTCTTTACATCTCTTCATCCTTCATCAGGTTTCAAGAATCAAGGGTAATAATGAAGTACGGATCGTTACTCAACGCAATAGATATCGAGTGTTTCTGTGTCAACGCAGCCAAGTTTCGTTTTCGGTATGGAGACAAATCATTCTATGCAATCAAGCGCAAGCGTGCGTTGGAACTGCTTTCTTACTCACTGTTTTCGGCAACTCTGTTCAAACTTACTTTCGTCGACGCACGACCTCTCCTCTCTCTCTCGCCCAGGGAACTACTCCGGGCTCGTTTGGATTTGGCGGAGTTCCAGTTAACCTGTGCGAGCGATCTAGCGGTCAACTTTTACTGCCTTGGCATGCGTCTCGCTTGTATGAACGACGAAGCATTTTTCTACTGGGTTAAGAAGGGACTACTTACCTTGGCAGAGAACCTTCCTGGGATTGCTTCGTCACTCTTCCTGGCCTATCCAATTGCGGCTCATTTCAAGGACTTCTACACCACCCTCGCGGAAGGAGCAATCATCTCCCTCCATCTCGAGGAACTCGCGAATCGGGGACCCGGGCCATGGTTCAGATACATTAGGAAGCAGGTCTTCGGCAACCTCCTTGACTACCTCCGATATCCAGTCCTTCCCCTAGACTCTTCTCCCCCCTTCATCCCTAACTATCCTCGTTTCTTTTTTTGCTCATCTAAGGGTAGAAAGAAGTATGTGAGTTTTAAGAGAGATGCCGAAGAGGGCAGCTCGGCCACAGCCGCAGACACAACCTAGGAAGAAGAAGTCAGCAAAGACTGAGCAGGAAGAATCTTCTTCCTCAGACCCCCCTTCTCCTTCTCATACTCTTCCTCTTCATCCAATCTTCTTGGTAACCAAGCCTCCTCGAGCTCCTCCCCCCATTTCAACCATTCCTCTGCAATCATCTTCCCCTCAACCCCCCAAAACTCCCAGGCAGAGGCGCAAGACAAATCTCTGTAAAAATCTTGATCTACTAATCTTCTCCTTGCTCTTCATCCTCTTTCTTCTTCACCTCTTTACCATCTTCCTTCTACTTCCCAAACCCTTTCACCATCTCTGCCTTCCCTGACAAGGCGAATCCGAGATGGACTTAATAATCCGATATGGACTTAATGGTTCGATATGGACTTAGTGGTCCGATATGGACTTAATGATTGCAATTTGTAATTTGGAATTAAATGCTCGTAATCTGTAAATTTGGACCTTCGGCAACATTC